AAAAGTTTCACAAACTCATTCTCCGACTTGTTTTTGGCGTACTTGCATAGCGGGCCATTTGCGTGGGCTAAAATCGCCGCCGACGAAAAACGACCCCTAATGCTTTCAACAATATTTGGCTGAACGTATTTTATATCATATATATCTGGTCCCTCTTCCCCCTGTGGATAGGGAGTAACAGTACCAATACTCCCAAGATTTTTACCACAGTACCCTGAATGGGGGCGAGGTCGAGACATAATGATATGCGAATGTCTTCTTTTATTGTTAGAGCTTCTCAATATGTAATATGCCTTCTTTGACTTATTGTTGGGGATGTAGAAGTTGTTCTGGTCGACTTCGTAACCATCATCCTCGACGTCATCTTCATCAGAATGCGTAGTAGTCGTCGTCGTGTTCGATCTCGAAATCACCATCGAGTCGTCAAAACGATTCTCAATTCCCTTGTTCTTGTTGTCATCTGCTCTGGTCGAAAGTCATATGTATAGTCCGTTTCCTGTAGTTGTGGTATGTAGTGAAGTACCATCTCCGACAGTATGTGGTGAATTTATGATATGTCTTCTCTCTGCCCGTGCATGGCTCCAATAATCCAACCTTGATTGAAATGAGACGGATCAGTCTTGAAAAATTCTTTCTCGCTCTCACCCCCACCGGCGAATGCCGCTCGAGGGGCTTCTCAATGCTTCGAACCTTGTAAAGACTGCACCTTGAACACTGTGTTAAATGATGTTGAGATGAACGGATGCCTCGCTTCTCGAAATCATTTGCGGAGTGCTATTCTCTATTTTCCTCTCATCCATTGTATTTTTCGATTCGTGGTCTGATCGGATATTTCTCACGCCCTCGATTAAATGCCGTTGAAGAAGAGAAGCTGACTGGAGTTCAACGCGCGGGGGTCATGTCGAGTCAAATTGTTGTATTGCACCTGGGATGCGATATGGTATGATAGTTTCTACATACAAGAGATTGGGATCAAAAACACGTCTGGGTATAGGATGTGTGCATGAAATCACACACCGTCTGGTGGCAAACACCCGACGATGGTCGCACACATGCAGCTTTTACAGCTTACTCGGTTCAGCCCAACGAGGCCACTTTCGCTAACCACTAATCACTAGAGAGGACACAGAGAGGTTCAGAAGAGGTGGGATGATAAGAGAATCACCGACACATAAGATCGACAGATTCAGCTGGATCTCTACTGAAGTGTTGATATGCAGGTAGATTGATAAGTTCGGTAAGACGCCCTACGGTAAGTAGACCGGTAATCGGTGAATGGCGTAAGGTAGCTTGACGGGTACACAGAGAGCATAATCCATAGAGGTTGAAAGAGTTCCATTCGGATAAATCAATAATTCTATAGGTAAATTGGTTGATTGGTAGATTCCATGTCGATAGGTAGATGCTCGCGGCTGGATACGGCGAACCATAGGTCGACACGATTTCGGTCGACGAATTGAACGCGCGAGCGAGCGAAAGGGGATGCGAATAGATTGAAAAAGCCTACAAACAGCTATCTATAGAGCACGTTCAACACCCCCGCGCGAACTCTCGACTATTCACTAAATCACAGAATTGTTCCATAAAATCGGCCTCCCCCGCCTCCTTCCTTGCTCGCGCAGCTTTTCTCGATGCGTCGCCATTTGAAGTCACCAAGCCCTTCCGCTTTCACGCACGTTGCCGCAATAGGACTGTTTAGCTGGAAATGATGGAGGGAAAGTTCTTGAGTTAACGTATAGAGAGGAGCGTGCCGACTTTACGATGGATGAATCGAGTGCCGCTACTCTTCCCCCGAGCGTCTGTCGGGAGCCCGGGTCTCGACCTTTTTTTTTGCTTTTACGGTCTCCGCATGGCAGCTCCTCCGACCACGGGCAGGCACTTGCTGCCCAATATTGAGGGCTCTAATTTTTCTGCTAGATTTTCGCTTCTCGGTTTAAAGCTCAGAGGTGTGCGTTTCTCGTGATATGGCGCGGCTTCGTAATTTTTTCGAAAGCTCTCTGTTCTCTCGGACACCGGGCCGAGGAGCGGGGTCATAAAGCCCGCAGTGTCGTGAACTAATCAGACGCTAACGAAACATACATACTTGATGGGAGCGACCGCTGCAGCCGCAGCCATGTTCTTCCAGATCAGAGGTAGCTGAGCATTCTGAATGCTGGAATGAACGAGAAGGTAACCGTAGTCAAAAATTTCATTCTCAACCCCTCGTTGTGCGTCGGCGAGGTCTCAGCGTGGTGAAGAATGGCCAACAGAACATTTCGGAGAGGGTGGCGAGGGAAACAGCGAAAAAATAAGATAAAACGATGAACATACCCATATCTGTGAGGGGAAACGGTAAAAGTTCGACGAACTTCCATAAGTGTCACGCATGCGCACATTCACCCGAAAAATCTCCCGACCAAGCGTTGAAAGTGGTATTAGTCAGATGTAAACGATACCTAAGTTTTGTAGACCCACGGATACGACAATGATGAGTGATTTCCGTAAAAGACTGTCGAGAGGAATGAGGAGTTTCCGCAAAAGACTGCCGGGAGAAATGAGGAGCTTCCGAGTCGTTTTGATAATACTTTATTCGAAACAGAATCAACTGTAAATAGCAGTTTGTAAATTTGACTAAGTGATTCAATAGGGGATATTCCTTCATCGATCGATCTATTGATCTTTAAATCGATCTCAATAGTGGGTAAAGTAGTTCCCGATTCTCAGAGTATACCTGTCAATAATAATAGTAGTTTCTCCTTTGAATATTTTGGATCGTAAGAATTGCTCGGTTGAAAATTTTTGGCATGATTCTTTTAGTCATTTTCCGTCTCTTCACATCATCATCATATCATAAGACCGTCCCCTCGAGTTTCACGCTCTTCAATGTCTCGTTGGACGTTCCTCAAAATTGACTCCGTCAAGTTGTTTCGATCGTCAGCCAATCAGGTAGATAATGATCTAACCAGTATATAATTCTGATATGTTGGTTGAAATTGATCTGTTTAAATACGTGCTAGATATGTTTTCACTTCTTCCCCCCTCTTCCCCCATCGTCTCTCATATTCACGACCGATGATAACCGAGTCGTTCAACCTCCACATTTCAGGTCTCTCTGAACAAATGTGGAGGTTCCACCGATTCCTACCCTGCCCTGTGTCCCAACATTATAGGCTGATCATTGCATCATGGTTTCTCTATCTATATTTGGTTTATCATCATGTAGCAGGGAAACCCGCCGCCGAGATATGCGAGGTAGTCCCCTTTCACGGAAAGGAAGGAAGAGGGACCAGGGAATCGAAGAGGAGGATTCTCTGACGGAACCAGGCAGGGAGAGGACGCGGGAGGACGGGAGGGAATACAGCTTCCAGCGAGGAGGAAGAGAAGGAAGGGGGAGAGGTAGCTCAAAAGTTCACACGTGTAGAGACGTGTCTTCCCAGAGAAAGAATTCGCGGAGAATTCGAAGTGTTTCATTGCAGATTCTGCTCGGGAACCCCTCACCGAGGGCATGCATGATAAGACGGAGGAGCGAGGGAAAAGGAGACCCATGATTCGGAGTCCGAAAGCATCTGTTGATTTCTTGAGTTTATATATTGAGTTTTGGATCTATATGAAGTGTAAGAGCGAAGACAGCGGCGATGAACACCCACCGCGAAACAGATTATTGGGTGAGACGATAAAACGAAGGGATTATTATTTGTCATCGAGTGCTTTATCCCCCGACGGCAGATAGGGCGAGGAAAGAATTATCTAAAAGCTGGTGAGCCTCGGAATAGGACAAGGGTGACGGAGTAGGAAGGGAGGAAGGAGCTAGAACGAGTTGATGGCGGCGAGTTCTGCCTAATATTGAGGCCGACTGATAAAATGACCTCTTTCTAAGCCTGACTAGAGATTTAGGATGCGGTCCCCAAACCTGGAGGGGTATCGTGATATTATTGGTTTTTGTATAAGCTAAATACCATTGATTCTCTTGCCGGCTGCCTTTCGAACTGCATCATCCCCCATAAACATCATCGTGATCGAAAGGGGAAAAACGATTTCCCCGGTCGCTTTTGGGTGTTTGCACGCGTTTGTAAACCATAAAAGGTGTGTAATGCCATGTTCATCCCGTAAGACGATGGGGAATTCACAGCGAGAAAATCGAAGATCACGACATCGTTCAATTCAGGACAATAGTCAAGAGAATCGCTGTGTGTCTGTCGGCGCTGTGTGTCTGCCATTCACCTCTTTTCCCCATCTTCTCGATCAAACTGTAAAACTAGTCATTTTTCTACGGAGATAAACCGCTTCTTTGAGAGGGTTTCCAGCCTGCATGTCGCCGTTTGGTTCTGTGTCATTGTTGCCGCGGAGGTGGGAAAATCCTCCCAATCGAGTCCGGCATCTCACTCAACAGACATAAGAAGTAGAGACGTACAGACCATGTCGCGGATAGGTGAAATGTCAATGCTAAAACATCGATTTTTTTGCCCTGGTATTTTCTCAATGTTTCGCAAGAGAATAGAATGGTGCTACCACACACGCACGCTTCCCGACAAATCTGAAGATCCCCAAACATGCGATTGAGAAGACGCCCTCCACAATCTTTGGCTTGGCAGCGGGAATTCTCCGTTCAGATGTTGTGTATCGACTCATGATCGAAGAATCCTTCTCTACTGGGGTTACGTCCTCGGTCTTCTCAATCTGGCTGAACTTTGCACCGATTATGCTACACCATAATTATAGTAGTGTCATCATCATTATAAGCAATAATAAGGTCGATAATAATAATAATAATAATGATAATAATAATAAAATGTAAGTGTTAATGTAACGGTCTGCTACGTAGTTGATCGTCAGATAGGTTGGTGCCGTTGGCTATTCGACCGCGGGCTTATAATGCACGGATACTTTCTCGTCATTTCCACTTGATTCCTGTCTTTCTGAAACTCCTAGATATTGTCGTCGTCCTCCTCTCAGTTTGCCACTCCTTTTTGACCTCCGTGAATTTTCTCTACTCGTTTGACTTTTTCTCAAGCTCTCGTTCCCTAGTACGGGGCAAATTTCACCGACCCGTTCCTGTTGAGTGAGGTTTGACCAGAAATCGGTGACGACGGTTTCGAATTGCCCTTTTTGGTATTCTGGCCGAGCTGGGCCGGCAGTCCACTCGCGAGATTCGCTTGTGTACTCAACTGCATCAACAAACCAGCGGTAGGGTCGGCGAGAGTTCGCGCCAGGTCCATACTGTATGGGTCGAACCACAGGGACAACGTCGCACACGACGACAATTCCGAGAGCAGAGGAAGGAATAGCAGAATTTCGGGAATGGATCATATGCGTGTAGCGGTCGATCGCGAGACGACGGAAGGAACAATTGCGATTGAGGACGCGAATCATCGCAAGTTTTGTGAGAGGAATCCGTCGAGAGAAAGGCGATCAAAATCAGGTCGTGAGGGGTATCGCGCGATTCAACAGATGAACGATAAAAATGAGAATCAATAAAACCCAAGATGAACAGTTTACAGGACAGGTATGTCGGACCATCGTTGAGTCGCGGTTGCAGATCGTCGACAGAGTCGTCGTGAAGATCAGGCGAAGGATCAGGCAGGCATTGCAGGAGTGGTTTTCAGGTCGTTCATGGTTGGTTGGTTGGATGGTTGCAGGCATTCATTCAGGAGACAATTGGTGATGGTCGGTCGATTGATTGGTTTGTTGGTTGATTTTTTGAATGGTTGGTTGGTCAGTCAGGTGGTTGTCGAGATTGAGGTTGGGTGGACATGGATGGACATGATGGATCATGGTGGATCATGTGCCGAAGTGCCAGCAGGGTCGGGGCAGGATCAGGCAGACAAAAGGAAAATAGGCTTTGCTTAGTGAATGAACTTCAAAACTCATCAAAGTTTAAACATCAAAAAGACAACGCTAGCATCGACGGTAAGAACGCTTACAGCCTCATCAGCAGCGATAGCAGCAACAGCCGTGACAACAACATCATCATCAACATTCATGATGAAACGATAATTAAACGATAGTGACGGTAGGAACAACGAGAGCGGAGATTTTCGCCCGGAAAGCAATGCAGTGGCAGTGATGGTAATGACGTGTGTTATATTTTAGAAACGAGCCATCGACTTGATAATTTATCCATGTTCCGATGCTCGATCTTGCCTGCTTGGAATCATGATTTCATGATCTTGGATTCCTCAGCGAGAAAACCGGGAAATCGAACAGCTTTGGTATTCAGAAGAGCTCCGACAAAGGGACTTCCCTCCGACCGAGGAAAACACTGCTCCGGCTACGAATTCCGAATCAATGAAGACCTCGCGTGTTCGAAACATCTGGGAAAGCTGCTGGAATTGGCGAAAGCCCTCCTCGCAGCTACTCGGTCCCTCGCTCCGCTCATTGCCCCTTTCTCTGTCTTTCTTAGCTCTCAGTTTCCGTCTGGTGGAAGTGGCAAGGAACTTGGATGTCTCGATTGACGTTCGCTTACGGAGGCTCCTCCGAAAGACGCTGAAACCGATGGATCCCGACGATGATTCGATTGGAGTCTGCTTGCCTTGCTCTTGGGGGAGCGGACAAATAGAGAGAGGAATCTCGGTTCGTGGCATTTGATCCGGCGGCATGTTCCAGAGCGGTAAACTTCGGAAAGCTCCCTGAGCCGAGTACACGAGAGGACTCGGATCGAGATCGACTCAATTTCGGGAGGCAGCAGAGCCAAACGAGCGCACTATAAGAAATTCTCCCATTCTGCTCCGTTCACGTTGTCGGAAAAGGGACAAAGATAACAGAGTCGAACGCCAGGTCGACGACTCTCCTCGCGGCTCACCCTTGCTCACTGTCATAACAGAAAGTCAGCGAAGCGATGAGAGTGAGCCCTTCTGAGTAAGTCACATCAGCTATAGCTGGTCACTTTTGGAAAGAAGCATAGCGAACGAGAAAACCAGCTCACTCAGAAAATAGTGGACAAGAAAGAGGGAGCGGAATTTCATAAGCGGTCCCCAAGGCTAACCGGATAGATGGGTGCTGTTGAACAAGTATCGAATCGAGAAAGGACCAGAGCGCCCCCTAGATCCGTTGCTAACGACCGTCTTTTTGCTAACGAGGTGAACCGTCCTCCCGTCCGATCGGTTGGTCGTTCGCCCGAGCAAGCAGGCAAGTCTGCGATGTCACCTCTCCCACAGCTTCCCCGGCCCTGTTGTCCATTCGCTGCTCCCGCGCCCTCCCGCCGCCGCCGCCGATGCGGGCCGGCAAGCCGACATAATGGCAGCGAGCGGAGCCGTGAGGGCCGAGAGTTGTCAGACTCGGTACAAGCCTCATCAAGCCGCCAACAAGTTACACGACAGTTTCAGCGGAAAATTGTTAGAGCGTCGCCGCGGAGAGAAGGACTCACAAACGCTGAAAGGACGTGGACACATCCGCTCTGGGTCTTTCTTGTTTCTCAAGCTCCTCGGGAAGTTCCCCGACTGAGTTTTTTCAGACTCCAGAGTTTCTCCCTCCAGGCACTATATCTCCATTCGAGGGTTTCGAAAGCCTCCGACTCGGTTCCCGGGCTCGCCCCACCGCGCTGATGGGACTCCTAAGACAAGATTCCAGAGAGGGGAACACGAAGGGAGTTCAGAGAAATGAGCCCCGCCACAGATCGGCGTCGAATCTTCGAACGGGAGCGTGAATCCGGAGCGAGTCAATCGGAAATATTCCTCCGGAATCGATTGACGGAGATAGTCTTCGTCGCAAAAAAACGCAACCGTCACCACACTCGCCGGAAGAGTCGCGTTTATCATCGCTCACGGTCGTCACTATCGCTACCGTCTCCACGGAGATGATGTTGTACAGATTAAATTTTGCAACAAGAAACAAGAACGTCTCTTCCTTGAAAGAGATTCCTTGATCCGACTTTTTTTCTCAGGACGCGGATCGATGAGGATGAGACAATTGAATTTTGTACAGTCAGAAGCCAAACGAAACGAGAAGCTGTGTTGCGATCGGTACTTAGACGAGACCTCGAGCAGATTTTGCTCATGAAGGCTCGATAGCGTCTCACTTAGAACTCTCAACCTCTCAAGCTTCGAGGGGGAGACATCTCTCAAAGTTCAGAAAGTAATCAACAGTACGTAGAATGGAGGGAAGGAACGAAGGAATAAACGAATGCCTCACAAACAGTCGGAGGAAAATAAGTGAAAAAGCTGCTTTCAATGCGCTGAACCGTAAAGACACTTGCCTTGTGTTGATGAGGTACTGCGCCAGGTTGATGGCTTCAGGCGTGCCCGATATTGACACGCATCGTTCCTTGCTGCCTTCTTCAGTGCTGGAGATCTTGATCGTCGCGCCCGACAGTTGCCGAATCTCGTTGATCTTTTGCCCTCCTTTGCCGATGACACAGCCGATGAGGTCGTTAGGGATCTGCATCTCCTGGGTGGACGATACTGCCACAGGGACACCGGGCGCAACGCCACCGACGCCTCCCACACCGCCAACACCCCCGACGCCAATTTGGGAACCGGCAACCCCCACACCAGCCACAGCGCCGGCACCTACGCCTACTCCGCGCACACTTCCCGCTCCTGACTGGCTTTGAGCCAACGCGGCGAGAGCCGCAGCTGCAATCGAACACAGAAAGAACACACGTCAATGCCGTTTGACTGCGGTGAAAAACAATTAAAAATACACCAATGTCTACACAGCCGAATACACACATCGGGAAAAAGAAAGCAAGAGAGTCGCAAGTAGGAAAAAGCTCTCATTGTTGCTGCCACTCCGAAACGCTTCGCGAACCCATTGCTATCGGACGCATAAGGGGCAATCCATCCGCTAAAGGATCTCTGACCCAACGAAAGCATGGAGGAGACCGATCCCCCCATTCATTCACCCAGTCGACTCGCAAAAACGTCATTCGACATGGCGAACTCCGGGAAGCAAAACCCTCAGCACGCAAATCAGAGTCGACTGAAGCCTTCGCTCATTTTCCGCTCAAGTCTTAGACCTCAAAGCGCGGAATCTCAATCGGGGAGAACCCCTACTCCGGGAGAGAGGCCGGATCGAGGCGGTTTCCTCTCGAGTCCCTTCCAACGGGGAAGGGAGAATGTGAGCTTTGCGTAGGGCCAAACTCCGGGCTTGACTCATAAGGGCGATTGGGGCCGTGGAGAAATTCAGTTCCAGATTACAGTGCGGAGCTGGGATGGGGTTGCCCCAAGGAATGCAGGATAAGGGGGGGGGGTGAGCAGAAGTCTTCAAAAATCATACATTACCATAAACTGAAACTGAATTAAAAAGCAATGAATGTCGAGTCTCCGATGACCGCCGTTCCTTGGACGTCTCGAGAGTTCCCGCCAAGTCATGGGTGATTTGAATATTCAAAGCGAAATAAGCATCAGAAGCACGAGATGGTTTGGCTCGGGGAAAACCAGACGAGACCACCACGCATAGGGAACTCCATCCACGGACCAGGCGGACAGGGATAAATGCTTGCGGACTGTTTCAGCGACGGATCGGAGAAGAACAAATTGCTCGAGTGATTGACGCAGCGATTAGAATGCCAGCTAGTGCTCGGCAGTAGCACTCATAGTTCGCGAGAGTTTCTCAATTGTTTCCCATTGCTTGATTGGGGGACCCCCTCTCGACCACTTAAGAAGCGTATATAATCCAAGAAATTCACTCACCCTGAGGATTTAGAGCGGCATTAGCAGCGGAAGTTGGCGGATTCAGCAGAGGAGCATGCTGTAGAGCCAGTTGGTGGAGCTTTGTTAGCTGAAATGAAAATCAGGTTTCCAGCAAAGTTTTTCCTCGCTCCGATGGAAATAGATTGCGGCGAAGTTCTCCCTCTGGAAAGTCTCGAAACATCCTGGCAGAGAAATTCCCGAGCCCGAGCATGACGGCGAAAAACGAGGAGATGTGCAGAAGTGGTAAGAGGAGAGCCACAGAAGTTTCGGAAGCTGTACAATTCCTTCTCCTCGAGGGAGGAAATATAACGGCAACAAAGACTTCGTTCACACGCTCTATCGATCTTCAAAGGACTTTCGGGACCCCTATTGTATCGGTGCTTATATTGCTGGCGCTCACGTCGTCGCCGCCTCCGTACTCATACTCTCGTTGCTGTTGCTGGGTCTTTTTTTTCGTCGTCACAATTGTCCTCGATAATGTGGGTGGCGTGGACGCAGTACGCTGCAAAACGTACGCATTACGACACCGTTCCATATTGTGAACAATGAGCGATGGCATTCAAGGACCCTGCGTGGAATCCAAGCGTCATGCGGCTGCTACCGATGGTGAGTATCGATGAGAAGCCTGAACGTCGAGCACACACGAGTTTTACAGATGTACGAATACAAAATGAAAATATCTGCCGTCGACACCGGAAGCGATTCTGTCCCAGGACGTGAGATCGCGATACAGATCTCGCGGAAGATCAAGGGAGAAGATCTCGCGTTATGCTCTTCGATGGCTCGGGAACTCCGACCGCGCAGATGTTTCTCCGGTGGAGCTTCCTCTTCGATCGCGAGAAAAACGAGATGAGCAATATATCTTCAGATTATACTCACGTCAGGATGAGGAATAGCATATGATCCCTGAACAGTGTAGGCCTGACCTCCAGCAAAAATTACCGGGGGCATCGCGGGTTTTGGACGATACGGAATCGTTGCTCCTTTCGGCGGGCACTCCAACATGACGCAACAGATTTGATAGATACACTTGGTTACAGCATCGGCCGTTCCAGCGACTGTCACCGTGCGCTCAGTCGAGTTGGGGAGCATTTCGGACGCCACCTGTACCGAAGCACCCGTGATCTCACGAATCTCGCGGATTTTCGAGCCGGCTTTCCCTGAAAAGAGCAGAGATGAGAGGTTGAGTTTAGACAGCGGATCTAAGACGGAAGATCATCATCTGGGGAGCGATTGCGGGAAAAGATCACGGCCAATCACTCGTTTCCGTTCCGAGTTCTGGTGGGGGAAGGGGGTGGAAGGGGGCGAGCAGAGAGTTATTGGCGTTCGAAGTACTTCGAACTCCACCTTCACAAACAAGAGACCCATTCATTGTCTGGATGTCAATCAAGTTCGGCACGCCCATCTGCCGTGTGCACACATTTTAGCCGTCGAGGGCACTTGACACGAAACTATGTACATGGCACAATGACAAGCGAAACGAGGATCCCTCTAGTTGTAAAAGCAACAGTGAACGAAGAACAAAACGGGACATTCGTTCGCGAGGGTAGAAGAGTATCAGGAGATCTCTGTATCTGTTCGAGAGAGGTCCCCGCTTGTTGCTCCCGCGATCAGAGCTATGCTCGCTACTCAGACCCGTCGGAATCCTCAAGTCGAACAACGCAGCCACCACGGATCGATGAGCAAATCGAGACGATGTCGGCCTCCGGGTGGGGGAGCCGACTTCGTGGCATAGAATCAGATTTTGCCGCGACATGCGCGACTCGAGGAGGGAAGACCTAAAAAAAGTTCGAGAGGGCGGCGAATGGCTGTGACGAGCGGAAGTTGAGACCGACCGGGGTGACGTGCGCCATTCGCACTCGAGGGAAGAAAAAAGTGAAAAGAGCAGTAGCAGAGAGAAAGGAAAAAGCACACCGGCACTTACCGATAAGGGAACCGCACTGCGACGCGGGAACGATGAGACGCAAAGTGACCGGAGGTGGAGTTTGCCCTGGGAGTACCTTCTGACCGTTGAGGGCAGATTCGGTAGGGGATCCACTGAGCGAAGACATCTCTTCGAACTTGGCGCAAATCAGTGAAAATGCTTTGAGAATGCATTCGGTAGACCCTGTGACGGTAACGATGCGCTCGGGGCAAGTGCCATCCGAGATGTTGATCTTGGCTCCGGAATCTTCTCGGAACTTCTTGATGTTGTCACCCTGCAACGAAAACAAACCGGTTCAGAGTTCGCCAACGACAGATTTCGTCATGACTCTTGAGAAAGAATCGACGTCGACGATGGCATGAGTCACGGATATTCGCTCTCTGGGTTGCTCGCAACACATCGTTCGACCTTCGGACTTCCCCGACACTCGACCTCCGGTAGTCAGATAGAAATCCGGAATGTCGAACATATTTGTAGACGCAGCAATAAACTCTGAAGCAATTAAACAACAGCGCCAACAATGTATCTCCGGATTTTATCTACCGCCGCGACGGTGGTGAGCAGCTCGCGGTAAAATCGAGCAAGCATGAGCTCACGTGATGTGTCATGAGCTCCGTTAACGACGACCGGGCTATCAACAGATTTCAACACTCGAACACCTTCGGCTCGTCGGGCATTAAATGAATCGTCGAATGTACTACGAGAGGCGGATACAACACCGCGAAACGACGTGAACGACCGGTGCAACATGTTGTTTCGTGCCATCGTTCGAGCGATAGATCAGGCTAGCCAGCGACAAGACTCAGTCAGCTGAATGGTTGGCATTCCGCGGGCCGTAGAGGACTCTGGTTTGAAGCTCTCGGCACGCTAATGTCTGTCGGTGTGCTCGTGTTCGCCCGTTTCGTTTAATTGATGGGACAGCTGAGGGAAATCTTCTCTCGATTTAATTGACGACACGAGGAATACATGAGTATGGACCGCGGATTCCAGCTCGAGACTGCGCCGAATGCCGTGCGGAATTGTTTTCGAATTATTATCGTCACGGCTAAATGCTCTACATATCGTCGGACGGGAAGCGCCGTTTCCGCAAGCTATCAGCGATCCGGCATCGACAGGAAAGCATGCCGCTATTGTCGGCTCAGCGCTCGGTCCAGGCCACCCGTCGCCTCCGTCGAGCGGGAAACTGAAACACAAAATAAGGCTCCACCGCCTGGCCTTTATAAAGTGCGGGCTGCTGGTGGTGTCTGATATTTGTAGACTGACATGAGTGAGATCAGATTGCCAGCAGTTCCTCGGTTTCTCGAATGTGGAAACGTCGACGACTTGTCGGAGCAGGGAATAGACGCCCGTGGGGCTGGCCGAGAGAGGCGAAGGCTCAGGCACTGTCGGAGCTCCTCCTCACCTACGGTGAGCGGCTGGCTGCTCGGCGAGCCACCGCCTGCGTTTTCGCTCGCGGCCGTACCTACTTCGGGATATGAGAGCACCCTGCGCAAGGAACGTCGACGTGGCAAATCACTCGATCGACCGGTATTCCGCCGAGGCGTCTCGTGGGATTCTCGGCAGAACTTCGTTTCCTGTCTGACATTTTCTCCCCGAAGCACTCCGAATTCGAGATTTCTTGGAAGTTTCCCATCGGCGTCCCTCACTCGGAGCGTCGAGTATGTGAATTCTACTCCGGAGAGGAAATTCCTCCACTCAACGGCTGAGCGAGCGGATCGCCGGGCAGAACACTGAATGATTCGCGTATGAGGAACTCGCGATCGGAGCATAAACAAACAGGCGTGAATCCGCCGACGAATACTAAAGCGGGCCGACGACAGATGGGGCAGAGGAGACGAACATTTCTGTGGATCTCCGTCGTCCTAATTTGCTATGCGCGGAATTTAGAAGCGACCGCATAGAATATTCCAATCGCAGATATGTGTACGGAGCAAGCCACGATGGAGCAGCGACAGACAAGTAGACGACAGAGTCGGAACAGTTTATTGTCACGAGCGGAATCGAATCAAGCGAACACGCCAGAAAGCCACGCGAAGCTCCGAAAAGCCGCGTCGATCGCTCGCTCACTCATTCGTCTATTCGAATCATCCAACGAGAATGTACTATGCAGTTGTCTGTCGCAGGGCGTTCGGTCTGAACCATCAATCCATCCATCCAACCGTAGTTGGTGACGGCCGCGCTGGGATCGCGTGCGTCGTCTCGACAGCCCCGAAAATGCATCGAAAATTTTCAGAAAGTCACGCACGCAATTTCACAAACTCGATCGGCTCGCGCACCGATTGGACGACTCGAACAAACAGACTACATGACTGATCATCTCGATCCGAAAGCCTCGGATCACAGTTCACATTATTTGCTAGAAGATCGCATTTCCAAACGGGGAAAATGTCTCAGAGAGTCGGTTTCCCGGGAAGCTCGATGACAGCCGGGGCAGCTCGCTCCAACGGCGATGAATCATTCAGCGAACGAGTTCGAGGATGAATATTCATCCAGGTAAGCCGTTACCACACCCGACGTCGGTCGCGAATCCGTGTCGCCCCCCATGGCGGTTTATGAGATGACTAATTACACCCGACAGTCCGTATTGGAAAGTTCGACGGCGACGCCTGCTGGCAGGCAGCGCTGCGGATAGCACCGGCAAGCATCCCGCTAGCGGTTCTAATGTCACCCACAGTTTGTAAAAAGCCATCGACCTTTTCTTGCTGGTCGCGGCGTGGCTGCCGCTGCCGCCACCGCCACCCTCACTTTCCGTCTGTCGGTAGGTCGAATATGCGTCGTTCGCTCGGTCGACGGATTCGTGTTCGCTTGGGTCGGATGCATCGTCTATCCCCGAAGAGCGACAACTCGGGCATATGCATGTTGAGCCTCCGGAATCTATTACGGAAGCGAGCTCCGCGCGATGAACCGTACCAATGGGGCTTTTGGCGCGGTATGCGCCGCCGTCACAGGGCCTCGCTCATCTTTCTATCGGACGGGACTCGCTCGGAGGCCGACTAGCAGGCTGGTGGGCTGTTCCTCCGTCCGTCCGTCCGCCCGTCCGTCTGTTCGCCGAAGTGAGCAGCCTCCTATCCACCTGATGATTCGCTCGTCGGGAGCCAAAAGCCACCGAGGAATTCGAGCACCGCCGAGTAACTAGCCGGAAGATTTCGATGTCAGCACCCATCGGCGTTTCGATACTAAACGAGGAGCAATTTGGCGGCCGCACGAGACTTCCGCATGCATGCGTACCCGTATGTATGTATGCACGCATGCATGCATGTATGCTCGAGCCGGGCCGTAGGCCGAAGTTTTGCGTCCGAACGCGCAGAATGCACGCACCGCTGACTGGAAGAATGCTGCCCGTCTCGGAATGCTCACTCAGTTTATCTCGCGTTAGCGGAACGCATTTGGGTCCGTGGCTCCGGTAGAATTTGCTCATTCTATATTTTCTGATTCTATATATATGCATGCGGAGTCGCGCCAGCGTGCATGCATGTAGAGGATACGCTCACGGTTCCGCGAGCATTTGTCTATTTGTTAGCTTGGCTATGCATACGAGGGCGTCGTTTTATGTATTCCGGCGAGAACGCAGAAGTTCCGACCAGGTAGATACGCAGATGCGTGGAACGGAAAAAACATCAGCGTGGCATGAAGATCTGCCAGGGCTGAATATTCAGTTGGCAAACTTAACTCTTACAGCCTGAGGCTTTTCTCTCGGCTCTACGTGGCCTGGATATGAGCAATAAAACTACTCCTGCCTCAGCCGCCACCGCCGCTCCTGCTGGCGCTGCAGCTCAATGAATGTTGGACGGAATTGTGAAGCAGCCCTTCATAAACTGCAATCTCAGACGCTGCTCGCGAACAAGCGGCAAGTCAGTTTTATCTCTGTTAGCGTCAACGATCTCTATTGTGTCCCTATCGAGTGGAGATATCGCCGACAGCCACGACCCTCGCATTCTAGGTAATAGCTCGAGTCGTCTTTATTATTCGTTCGTTCGTCCGTTTAAAGACACTCGAAAACTCCTCGTTGCCTCGGATGTGAGCGAGAGAGCGGACTGCCGACAAACAAATACTAAGTGGACCTCCGTCAGATAGGATGGACGGACGGAATCGCAGTCGAGGATCGCTGTCATGTTTACCCGTCGACGAGAATATCGGCCGTGCCCGGTCATTCCGAAGTCAAGCATGTACCTAGTAGTAATACGTCTATAGAGTGTGTCTGTGCCGCCGTCGTCGCCTGACCAACAGATGCTAGACGGCATCTCTCCATCGACACATGCAACCAAAGCTCGCCCCGCTCCCCTCCTCCCTCCTCGCCCCCGCTGAGGATTGCGGCAAGCAAACGGCCGCACGGCAGGCGAGATCAAACGAATATTCTCGCTCGTTGCATTGCAGCTCGACTGCAAGCAGCTTCAGCCGACGAGAGAGCCCCGGCGGCGACGAAGACGGAATCCCGCATGATGGCGCGAGGGACGGGCCGGGCAAAGCGGCAGTGGGGTTCGGAGCGGAGCTTTAATCTAATGATGACGACGACAGCGGCGGCGACGACAAGCAATCGAGAGTCGGGCCGAGAGAGCAACACGACGATGACGACGACGACAACCAGCATTCAACCAAGCGACCAGTCGGCCAACCAACCGGCCAAGCATCGGTCCGTTCGACCATACATTGCCAGCAATCCAGGGACAGCCCAGCAGGGCGGCCGGCAGGCCGTCGGTCGGTCGGTCGGTCGGTCGGTCGGTCGGTCGGTCGGTCGGTCGGTCGGTCGGTCGGTCGAACGAACGACCAGGCAGCTTCCTTTCTTTGTAATTAACATGGCTTGTTAGTCGGCACCCTTCCGTACGGTCGCGCCGCCGGTCGGTCGGTCGGCCTCTTAATTCCCAAATAGCATCGCCAGTCACTGAACGCGTCCTTTTTCCGTTCGCTTCGTCCATTCAATGGATTCTCATCTTGGTTCACTCGAGAGGACGTACCATCCGGGTACTTTCTTCAACCAACTCTGGACGGACACCCTTCCGGGGAATGACCGATATGTTATTCCTGATGTTGTATCACGTGTCAACAAAAATTTCCCTCTCTTCCATTTAGGCCAGAATGCCCTTGGATACAGGTCTGCATCGGTCGTCTTCGATCCGCGGAATAACTGTCCTCGCACTTGATGATGCGCTTCTCGCCGACGAATTCCGCTCGTCCCCCGGCGGTGTCTGAATCTGCCCACGCTCGGCTCAGAGCGACTGCGGGTGCAATTCCGGGACCATCGAGGGAGTTGTGCCATCACAGCGAATGTAATTTGAAACTGCGCACCCATGTTCGTTCCCCCGTGCCTAGGCGGTTTCGCGTCCAGATGAAAATGGTGGGAGCTACGCATGGGATCAGAAGCAGTTTTTCGCCGGAGGCTTCCCCTCATAAAGGTTAAACTAGAGCCCCGGGCACTTCGGAACAAAGATCTCCAGGAAGAGAAAATTAGCGAAAGCTCTGAATGACATCAGATCGCGGAAATCAGGGGTCACGGGTCATTTTGCGTTGTTCCCTTCAGCGTGGCCTCGAGAGCTCGCCCGCCCTGCTCTTTTTGTCACTGAGCCAGCGGGCGGACGCACTTGCTTCGGGAGAGAGCCTCGAGATCATGGGATGATGTCGACACCTTGTCCGTTTCCCAAGGGAAATACTGCTCCTCTTTACAAGCTTTCCACTCCCCGTATATTACGACGGGCGAGCAGTGTAGTCCTCGAACCGGTCCACCCATCGACAATGGCAGTCGGTCATAATATTAACAGAGAGTTTGTCTCGCCGCATCCTCCGATTTATCCACATCTGTTTCCGGAGAGTTCGTGTCGCACTTCGGCCGTCCGGATACCGTTCCCGCTATTTATATTTCTTATACATGGGAGCTCGCTCGCCTGCTTGCTCGCTCGCTAAGCGACGGGGAGGCAACGAACACCTTGCTGTTGCAGCCGTTGTTGCCGCTTCGTGAGACGGGGCTGTGGACGACGCGGAAGAGCCGTAATAATAGAAGCACGAGAGCATTGCTAATATAGAGAGCGGAACACAGGGAAAAGAACAGCGCCCAGCCCTTCTCACGGACACCATCAGTGGCACCACCATCTTCCCAGTCGTAGTTTCGGCTCACTCGCGCGAGACTCCCTGGGAACCGAGCGGCGGAAGGACAAGAATTCTCCCCAACGATCTGAGCGGCGACAGAGCCGCAGCAGCAGAACTTCTCCACCCCCTCGGTGCGCTCGGGTTTCCGCGATCTCCTGCGGGCTCCGTTTCTTCTCGGCGGGGTTTCTCTGTCTACCTCGGTCCAACAACCGGCGAACTTCCTCTGCCCACGGAAAAAGGAGGTAACAGAGCCCGGGGTAGTTTTTAGCTCCGACGTCGAAGGCTCCTCTGTCGCTGGGGCTCGTCCTCGTGGGGAGGAGCGGGGAAAGTTCCGCGATGGGGTTGACCCTCTTGCTCCTCGGGCTGCTACTCCCCTTCCCTCGCCACTAATCGGCATGGACACTCAATAATTACAGATTTAATGGGAGGTAATCGGTTGAGCGTCGAACGCAGCAAAGAACGACGTGAAGGATTCCGCGCACTCGATTTCCGGCCGTGCTCTTGTGGAAGAGCTCGCCACCAATGACGAAGCTCTTTTCTCCGAGTGAGGAGAATGCAATAACTCTGTCGACGGCCTGGAGAAATGATTGTATGCATGCCTGCACGAATGCGAAGAACTTCCGCGAGCGCATCTCTCCCTTTGTTCGAAGCTCCGCCGTGTTCACGCATGGGGGTGTATTTTTGCGATCGATTGTCTGTTGCTGTATTGATTTTTTTTTGTCCGATCCTGAGCACTTGTGAACGCTCAGTCGGCTCCGAGACGCTTCATCTCGTTCGCTCCCCTCCCTTCCGCACGAGGTGTTTTCGTGAATCGCTTGTTATTCACGCAATTCTCTGAACGAGTACACGACTTCATTCGCGAGAAGATCGAGTGCCGTACATCCTGTATGACCCTGTCACTGGGGTGTGCAATAGACTCATAAACAACGTCTGATAACAGGCTAAGCATCCCGAAAACATAAAAACCGCTGTTATTAAACACAAGAACCCACCCGCTGAGTCCTTGCAACAGACAAGGAGCGGGGAGACGTCGTCCCACCGGCAGCGGTATGTTTATCTCATTGTCTGGAACCTGTTGAGACCCGTACTGCCGAGCTTGCTCGCGAAAGGGACCGCTAGCCTGTTCGTTCGCTCCGACAACTAGCGAAACAGAGGCCGCTCGAGCGAGCGAGCGAGTGAGCAAGCGAGCTACACATACCGAGGGAATGCCCGTAGCGTCGAGCGGCGTACACCGGGAGGGATGGTGAAGCGTCAGGCTCATTGGAAGATCGAGGCCCGAGACTCTTGCGAGACGAACGCAAATATGAGCGGCAAACAAGGCCTCGAAGTCTCTCGCGCAAGAATTGCTTTCAACGGCTCATTGTGCAGCAGCAGTTCTTATTTTGCTCGAGGCTATAACGAATGAGTGGACTTGAAATTTTCCTCCGTTCCAATCATCCCGGCGTCTTGTCCCGCTCACCGACCTCCCTCCCGCCCCGCAAGGACCCAATCTCCGATCGACGTCCTTTTCTCAGGGAGAAGTCGTCGGATACAATCATATCTTCAGGCTGTCATGTGTGAGTCGCTCAGTCAGAGAAACTTTGGAAGATCACGCGGGAAATTTTGTTGTTTTTCGTTTTCCCCTCTATTCCCGCCTTTGAATTTCCTCAGACAGACAAAATTGAATAAACTCACGCTCTGACGAACGAAAGAACGAAACTTTAAGGCAATGCAAGCAGCCAGCCCCGTCGGAATGAGAGTGTTGCCGCGGGGCGATGAGGGAAATGGGGCAATGGAGTCGGCAGGGGAAACGGAGAGCAGCGAGCATACGCTCGCTCGCTCCCTTGCTTGCTTGCTGTCTGACCCGAATTCGGGCCCTCCGAGGATTGTGTCAATAATTTACCAGGCGCCGAATAAAATGCAATCCAGCACTTCGAGAAGGCTTCCTTCCAACCAACCGCGCCTCAGTAGCTCTATGAGCGGGCGGAAAGCAAACATGGTACTTCTCCGGACGTGCGTCGGTCGGCGTCGGTCGGATCCAGATTTGCCGCATCGACGGCCGACAGGAAGACGACTTGTTAGCGGAAACCGCTTGATAACCCGAGCTATTTCTCGCTCGATCCGCCGAGCGATTGAAGAGGCGCTCGACATTTGGACGTAGAGAGCGCGGATTCCTTCCAAAAACAAGGGAATGTTTTCTCCGAAGCGTTCCGATCGGTGTGACCGGGAATCCAATCGATTTGTTTTCTTTCGGATCAATTCCGAGGCTCGTTGCATGCACTCCCGCGATCACTCGATTCTCGGCAAAAACAGACAAGAGAATCCCCCACCGAGATCGAACGCACGATTCCTTCTCGGGGGCGCGATGATGACGCAGAGCGGTCTTGACGCTGTGCGTCAAAACTCGTTAACTCTTTTCCCTCCTTCCCGTTTTGAATTCTCGGAACAGGGGCGTCTTCAGGGGACCATCTTCGCAGCGTCATGAATAAAAGACACGGTGATAGTACAGAAGTGTCTTCGCCATACCGACGACAACGTCGACTACCGTTGCGAGCAGAGCAACACGTACCTCGCCAGCACACGAGTAGGTCGTAATCCCAAGCCTCCCTCAATACGCGGGGAAAGCAGTCCGTTAATCTATGTATGTACCGTAGCGCCGTATTGCAATCGACAGGAATGAGTGTGGGGAATTAGGCTCGAGACCAGGACAGCCCCACAGGGGAGCCGCCGACTCTGTGCGTGGCCAGTTACGTGCCCGCCGGCAGGCCAGCTTCTTGCCTCACAAGCTTCTCTTCGATCGGTGTTTTTTGATAACTCTTGTGAATCGCCCCATCCGGCAAGGCGGTTCTCGTCTCCTCCAGCTCGTGCAGAAACCCGCGATCAGGTTTCGAAGTTCCGCAACGATTGCTCACAACTTACAACAGCTTCAAAGTAAGCTCGAAAACTGCTATCAGACGTCGCGCGGCCGTGCTCGCTCGGATACGTCCCCACGTAATGACTACAACAGTGTCGATGACTACGCCGCATCGCCATCACCGCCGGAGGACGGACAGCCACCGGCGGAGGGAATCCCTCGACTTTCTACTCTCACCGGAGCCCCGAAAATGGGGCTTCGGGGCTTGAATTCCCGTTGATTGAACGCATGCAGAGAGGACTCACCTTTTTCCCAATGATGCTTCCGACTTCTTTCCCTTGCATTATCATGCGAACGGTCAGAGTGACCGACGGGGTGTTCACTGATGTGTCCATGTTGCTTAGAGTTTGAATCTTTGGTTTGCAGAGAGCTCGTGGACTGTTATCGAGTCGGCTGTTGTTGCTGTCCGGCGGAGGCTCTAAGAGACTAGTCGCAGGCGCGAACGACGAATTTTCGTTGCTGTCTCGGATATGATGACTCAAGTTGAACGCTGCGGGTGCCGCTGCTCCGGTTGCAGGCGACGAACTCGAATTTCGCTTCAAGGAAGAAGGCGGAGGTACTCGACGAACTCTCTTCGCAGCGATCAGAAGTAAATCACTTGCTTCACCGTCCGAATCCAATCTGCCGCTGGATTTGAAGTTGTTGTTTTTGTTGTTGTAACTGCAGGTAGTGGCTGTAGTTGTTGTTTGTTTTTGGTGGCGGTAGTAGTAGTAGAAGTCGAGACAGATAAAGTAGTAGAGTTTTCTTGGTGATTGGTGGTGCTGGTTTAGAAGAAGTGGTTGCGGTGGTGGATTGCAACAACAGCAACAACAAGTTGATGGTGAAGATGATTACGAATGGAGGTATGGTTTTCTCTCTCTAGAAGTCGTCGATGTCGCGTCGTCGTCGATGTCGTCGTTCACGTTATTGCTGTTGTTGCTGCTGCTGCTGCTGTTATTGAAGTTGTTGCTGATATATCTGACTGAGAGTTCTTTTTGATGATGGAGTAGAATTTCAGAAGTGGTGTTGTTGTTTTTGTTGTAGTTGAATAGTAGCGTGGGATGGGAAGGGAAGGACCGAACCTCAGGATGACAGCGAGCTACGCAGGTGAGCTGCAATCGAAAGTGCACAATTGAAACACGAATGCATTTACCTAATATGCACTCTGCCGTCCCCCCTACGAAACCGGTTCGCTGGCCCGCTCTCGCCTACCCGACATTAAGGAAAACGAACACTTCCGGCTGCGCGCGATATCGAGCGAGCGGGTGAGCGAGCGAGCGAGCCGATTTACCTAGAGCATCTTGCAGCGGCCACTCGCCAAAGAAAGGGAGCAAAAGCTCGAGGTAAACTCTAGACTAGAATCGCTTTCTATCTACGAAGGCCCGTAGCATAATGGCCCGGCGTAGAGCGGCAGGCTTCCCGCCTGCAGCCGGGGACTTGAGGCGGTTTGTTGTAATCGCCGCCGCACTTGTTCCGGCACTAGGTGACTGCGTATAGGCCACCGAGTCGGCTAGCTGCCCAGCCGCTCGCGATATAGCCGAGTCAGCCGCCGTGCACGGACACGGCCACTAGATAGCAACAAATTAACTGTTGGATGAGTACAAACAACCTGCCGGAGGAGATGAAGAATGCGCGGCGTACCTCACTCACTAGCTTTGGATCCTAGGCTTCGGTCCGGCAGTGCGGTCGGAGGCTGTCTTCACCCTCAGTATCCTCCTCGAGCGGAGAGCGGCGGGAACCCCTTAGGGCTTACCTGTTCAGGTCTTTCGTTACTCTTTCGCTCCCCACTGCCGCAGAGCTGGCCCGGACTGCCCCCCCCCCCCGCCCGCCCCTCCGCCCCTCCCCCCTCCCGACCTGCCCACCCCCCTGACCCCGCAATGGCAGAGCGCTGATGGTGGTGGCGGCGGCGGCGGCATACCCTACCTATGCTCTTCCCCCCTCGACAACAGCTCGCCCACCAACGCCAGCCAGCCAGCCTACCCGCTTCTGCTGCTGCATCCCGAATGCCCCCTGCCCCCCCCCCCCTCGCCTGCTCGATGCTACACACAGAACGCCTCCATAGCACTGAAATTGCGCCGCTCACATCATCATCTTCCGAAGATGCTATCCACGCACACAGCGAAAAACGATTCCGTTGCAAAGTATCGGACGTTCACTCCACTTATTCGCTCGGTCGCTCGGTTGTAGGTAGGTAACTCACACACAGGCACTCACAAGACACGGAGACGGGCAGCAGCTACGTCCGCTTGTGTGAGTGTGCCCTTCGCGAATTCTAACTGATGCCCACAAAACACCAATGGAGGAGATGCGACTCGAGCTGCTCAGACGTCCAGGCACCGTGGTTAGACGTCTCCGATCGACGTTCTCTAAGTATACGGTGAAAACTGAGTGAATACTTACTAAACTACAGACGAGAACTGGTAAAGCATAATATCGGAGATTCCATCCCAGCGACAGAGTTTGTTTAGGTGCGCATGCTCAAAGCGAGGAGGAGATGTCAGATGGTTGTTCAAACGAAGATGGCGGCTCTCGGAGTAGTGACATCAACGAGAGGGTAGCCAACTAGCGGCGGGCGAGCGAGCGGACGCGATACTCTGCGCGCTGCTGCTGCTGCGGCAGCTCTCCACTATCACACCAAGCGGATCAGTTGCGCGCATGCATGGAAATTGCTTCCGTAGTCTCTGAGCCGCACCTTTCGCACAGTCGAGCGTACGATCCGGACACCTCGCGGTCAACTCGTACTCCAAGTCTATGGGAAATCCGTCAGCGCAGTCCCGAGGGCGAAACTGAATGGGAACGGGATCTCATCGACGGGGAAGTGGAGATAATGATGTTGATGATCTTTGCTGGTACCTGCAGATGGATCAGGCGATTTCATCCTCCGTTTGGAAGCGAAGTGTCTTTTCCCCCCCGTCTCCTCTCCAATCGGAGTAGCCGATGGAAAACGTTATCGGAATAATCGGTATACTCGATCATCTCTTATCGGAGTCATAGCATTGGACGTTGGGGGAGCGATATCTCTTCCAACTTCGATGAGTCCGACTCCGGATATGATATCCGACTGAAAAAAATTACGAAGAAAGATCATCGACACCATTGAGCCCGATGATCCGATCCCCCTCCACGGATTCACCCCTCGACGAGACCTCTTGCATGGACTCCGCAACGACTGGAAGCTATCTTCAAGCGTACGAGGCGGAAGGGGGGGGGGAGTGGGAATGAGCCCGAAGATTTCCCAGCCTAAACTCTCAGAGCTCCCTTCTGCACAGTGTCTCGCTCCTCTCTGTGCTGCCGAGGCGCCCTTGCTCTTTGGATCGAATGGCCATCGTCGAGCAGACGGTTTCCTCGATTGATGAGGAGGGGACTTCCGTGTTCCAAGCATGATGTTGGATGAAGTGGCGCCAGATTCGGAGATTCTGACACGATGCCCGCTATCATATTGGAACAAGGGGAGGATCTCTCCGAATACCGGGGCAAGCTAGACGAAATTTAAGGCTCTATCTGGAGTCTCGAGCTGTTCCTGGATCGAGAGGATTTACGAAGCGGAGTAGGTCCTCCCGCTGGGAGGAGAGAGCTGCTCGTCGCGGTTCCGGATTCCCCTTCTTGCGATATCTCTCTATGATCAGATATCGAACATCAGAGACACGGATCATCATTCCCCGAAGATATATCTAAATCTAGAGGGAGGAAGTCCTCCATCCCCAATCACTTACTTAGCCGTCCATTACCCGGTCGACACGAAATGGAGAAAGAGATTCCTCTGGGGCGCGTCTTCGAATCTCCTGTACTCCTGCCCTCGAGAGCAGGCTCAAATCAGTCGCACTTCGTCCATCATCAGGAACCACGACTCCTGATTTTTCGCTGAAGGAATGCATTCTGATAGACCTCAGTTAGTAGCTCCGACATTTGAGCTCTGTAAGAGTTGGAAGTTCGGAGCGCATAAGCATCGATTATGATATGCACTCGTTATTTCGTTATGTACTGAGACTCGTTTTCGCTTCAGAATGGTTCGCGTTAAACGGCTCGGCTCACCCCGCGAAAAGTCAGCGCAAGAATAGCGGTGCAGCTGATTCAGGAAGTTTTCCAGGTGAGCGCTCAATGATTCGAGGAGAGGGGCGAATTGATATCTGAGTTCTTCCCCTAAGCGGAATATAGAGGCATTCTGGACCCGCGAATCGGGTGGGCGATCCACCGATTAGTAGCCTGTTGAGGCTCAAGACAGGCGAATAAAGAGTGAGGTCGGCACAAGACAGTTCTCTTTCTTTCAAAGCGGACAGCGAATCCCGGACGGATATTCAGGAGATATGTATCCTTGACATTCTAGAAGACGCGCTCCCGATTTCGTCTTGCTAGCTTCGCCGGCTGCTCAGACCCCTCGCAGGATCAGCATCATGCGCGGAGCGGATTTTCGCGGGGACAGGAGCTGCGGTTGTATTGGATCCGCGCGTAATGGCTGTCTCTCGATCCGGACCTGCGCGAAAGCGGCGAGGCGGCACGTTCACTGTCAGTAGAGAGGGATGCGTTCAGGGAGTTCTTGCTTGCGCACTGGAGAGCTCGCCTGAGGCATCTGTGATGAAAAACGAGCATATCGACATGATGTCAGTGTCATGAAACTCCACTGATCACGAGCCGCGAGATCTCTCTACGGAGATATGCTCGAAATGATCTTTGGTCCTCATTCATGCTATTCTGTTGAGACGAGGATCATGAAGGGACCTGCGCTGGATGGAATACCTCGGGGGAGCAGGTATGAGCCCGAAGCATGACTATGGAGACTTCGACGATGATGCGACTCTCCATCCCCGACGCACGACCGAATCCCGCTTCCGACTTTTTCCGAAGCTTTTCCTTGTCAGTCGTGAGTTCCCCACGATGGAAGTTCGGGGTGAGCTCCCTCGATTCGGCTCTGACTAATGAAGAGACTCTCATCAGTATCCGCGCGTTCTCGGTGATAAGAATAATTGATATCCGGTATCAATGTCTGGAGGAGAAAGGAGAAGATTCGGAACGCGGTGTTAAAAAGCAGAGATCATCAGCATCATCATCATCTTTAAAGTCTCCATTGGCACGACTCGCCGCAGCCCCTACCGTTTGGGGATCAACTTCGAGGAACCTCGCGGTTATCTTCCGTCGGTCTTCGCGGAGCACCCTCTTGCATAAATTCACAGCCCGCTGGAGAGGTGCCGTCTCGCGGTCTTCCGCGTTGGGTAGCCTTTTTCGATCTCCATCATCGGGCTTCTGAACCCTGTTCCTTTAGAAATTTCTCTCCATTGACTGAGGTAATCTTCTGAGCGATGTCTGCGGCGTTCATTCTCCCTTCCAGAGGGGAGCTCTTCTCTTGGCACATTCTGGTTCAGCTTCTGTCTGGTCTCTGTTCATATGTCAGTGGAGGTGGAACCTCCCATTTCCCGCCAAGGTTTCAAAATCAGCTTGTTCCAATATGTCTCCAATTCGACCCGATTCTAGCCTGGTTCTCCGAGGGGGGGGCCGCACCCACAGATGGGGCAACGCTGACAGATGATTGGAGTCCTCCCGAATGACCGGCGGGCGATCATGAGAGAACTTTATCCGTCTCCTGTCCATCTCCTCACGCCGGGAAGCCAGTCCCCGGTTGTCGCGGTATCGGCAGCTCTCCGCAGTTGGCGTTTAGATCATATTAGATCAAAACAAAGGGAAATTGCTGCAGAGTGTATCGAGAGGATAGAGTTGTCGTTTTAGCTTCCCGATTGACCATAGAGGCCAGGTGAGCGAAAAAACTTCAATCTATCGCCGAGTCGATCCCTGGCGCTGTCGACGACATATCTGGCGCTCAGCTGAGCCGAGTTTTCCCCAGTTAGGCCTCTTGCTCTCGGATTCGGTATCAACATACTCGAGTCGCAGGAACAGCTTCGTCGAGTCGAAAGTTATAGATCCTCTCAAAATGGGGGCTAAGCGAGACGACGTCGAGGTTCTATCGATCTTGGGAGTAGCGCTGGATTTTTGAAAGTTATCTAGAGATTATCGAGAACGCTTCGTATGTGTGCGGTGTGTTAGTGTGTGTGTGTACTCTGAATGCGTCACTCATACCGGCTTTCCAGGAGGTTGTAGTTCTTGCTCAAGTTCGCGTGTGAAACAGTCCTCGCTGAAGAGACGTCCGAGGATTATGCAACGCCTGCCTTTTAGTCCGGAAAGCATTTCACAGCGATTCCGAAAGGATGAACGAATTTCGGTGTACGAGCACAAAGTATGAGCGAGATGAGAACGCGTTTGCTTTTCAGTGATGTGGGACGCGCTCTTCTCTGAGCTGTTTCGAGGATCACTGTGTTGAAAATCAATAATAAGTGAAATGACGATCGTAATTGGCTCCAACGAAGATCCAGGTGAGTCGGGAGTTGACCTCAAAACTTATGCTTTTTCTGCGTGGAAAGTTCGAAGGTTCGCTGGTAAAGTCCACCACGACTCCTCCGTGACAAACACATGATAAAGGCGTCTTATCGGCAGTCAGTAGACGTGCGATAACGGCCAGTGTCTGGAACCTCCCTCTAACGGAGACTGTTTTCATTCAATGGGAATATCATGATGATGGCCATCGTTGTTTGGGTTTACCATGTCCGTCTACGATATTATACAACTCGGCCGATCCGTCGCGAGGAGGATTAGATCATACTTCGCGCCGGTGTCGCAGAATTGACACTGATCGATGGATTGGGGGAAGTTCGGCTATCTGACACTGAACGTCATCGATGATCATTTCTGGGACGGAGGGGATACTCTCGATAATTTCGAACCCTCCGGAACTCGTTCTGATACTAAGGATGTTGAGCGATGTGGAAATGTTGGAACTCACCACAGGAACCTCTTCCGCTTGAGTCTAGATCGGTGATTTCAGATAAATTCATGCCCTGTGTTATCGGCATCGGGGACCCGCGAATTCCTCGAAGTCACATCTCCTGTGCGACCACGGTCTCCCGCAGACGTCTGCTGATTAATCGCGAGAGTACTCGAGCCCCCAATTTCTGCTCGTGGGACTCAACGTGTTCAGTGGTCGAAAATCTTGGTTTGGTGTTTTCGAAAGTCTCCAATGATCAAGTCATTGTTCCCGCCTCATCCTGAGCTGTACGATGGTTGGCGTCGATTCGTACTTTCATTCGCTAACATGATCCGTCTCATGCCTTGTGTTCAGGTCAGGCTTCTGACCGAGGGCCGCGAGGATCGTTCATCCGTTCCCAAGCAATCAGTTTCCTCTGGCCAAGCGCTCGACTTTCTCGAATGCCTCCCGATTTCATCATCGCGCTTCCGTCCGCGGTAGCTTTCGAGCAAACGCCAACACGTCAGCTATTTTCTGACTCTTTTCCCTGTCGATGTCCCCACTCGAAGCCGATCAAGGGCGATTCCCTGTTTAGCTCGGGAGTCGATTGGGGAAATTGATCAGACTGTGCGTCAATCTTCGAGGGGTTCTTGTTCGCAAATCATCTGCTCAGGATTCTTGTAATCTCTGCGGCCACGATGAGAGCGTGGAGATTGTCGGATCGTATCCGGATGACTATCTACCTCGAGGCTTCCGGATAATTGCGAGCCCTTCTCCGATTTGAATCAGATGCTCAATACTCGAATTCGCGAGGACTAGATATCGAGAGCGAACTGCCTCAGATGCGATTTTTGATGCCCTCGACCTTCCGGTAAATGGCCTCCTAGGAGCCAGTGGTCTGCGCGCAATCTATGATTTCATCACGAAGATCGGCCTGAGGGAGCTTTTCCTAACAAGTCTTCAGCTGCACCCCGGGCCTGCCAGCCCTTTGGGACCGGCAGCCAAGCCTTGACCCGATCGAGCGACAATCGCAACCTGCTCCTGAATTCACTATTGGGGTGATCTTCCCTCGCTCGTTTCCCCCTGAAGGCGCCCGATACGAAGTCGAATGGTTCCCCCTCGATCGCTTCGGCGGTGCTCTAATCTACTGACTGAAACAATCGAGCGTTCGCCGGACAGTGGGCACTGGTTGAGAGGACATCGATTGTCGGGCTCAACACGCAATGATTCGATCAGGGCATGACGTTTGTTTTCTGTTTTCAGCTTCGACCGAAGTGTCGCCGGTGCTGGAGAATGAAGGGGGCACGTCCACAACGCAAGAGACGTCCGGAGAGACACCCCACGAACAGCCCAGTCCAGATGGATCCTGCCCAACCAAAGAAGAAAATTCTGAAGATGTCGATAACAATGATACCTCGTTCCCCGAGGAGGAACTTGGTAAACTCGAAGGAATGATCAACAGGTACCGTATGAGAAATTTCCCCCTACCGTCGTGAGATACTCACCCGGACTCACCGACGGAGGAAGAGCGGAGCGTTCGGTCCCGATACCGACGGGACTTTACTGTGAATGAAGATACGAATCCGAATAGAATTATTCCCCTGAGCGACCCGAGTCTTCCGCCTCGGTCTCGATATCACCGATTCTAAAGAGCGATTCCCAATTGTTATCCAGGTCCCGCTGGGTTGTTCCGGTCTTACCAAACGGCGAGTTGGAGGTGTTGTTGAAAGCGACACTGAGACTCGCCAAACGGGGTCTGGACGAAGAAAACGAAATGTGCAAAAGATTCATCCGGGACGGACTCATCACGTCGTTCACGAAAATTCTCACCGACGAGGCCGTGTCGGGCTGGAAATTCGAAATCCACAAATGTATCTACCACAACTGCGAGCTGCTCATTGAACTGTGCGTTGTGAAGCTCGAGCAGAACTGCCAGCCGCTGATGGACATGCTAGCGCTCGTGTTCAATCCCGAAAACAAGTTCCACCAGTACAACGCGTCCCGTGTCATGGATTCGCAGGAGATGCCCTACGCGAAGAGCAACGACAGTCGTTCCCCCAAAGGCTGGCTAGTCAATCTCATCAACAAATTCGGCCACCTGGGCGGCTTCGAGATCCTTCTGAAGAAATTCAAAGATATGAGTCCCGAGCGGACCGCGCCACTCAATGTGATCGTTTCGTTGATCAAACCCTTCGGTCTCAGCTGCCTGCTGCTGACCGAGCGTACGCTCACCCGATATCTCATGCCAATCGTGGTCAAGGTGCCTTCGTATATTTGGAACTTGTCAGACGAACAGTTGAAGAAAGACACGAAAAACGATTGTTTGAGTCTGCTTGTAAAATGGCTCCGATGCATCGCGCTCTGTACAGCCCATACGTACGTTGTTGCCGATCTCGAGAAATTCCGTCTCGAGATGCTCCATCGCTTACTGCTGATTTCGTCGTTTAACGGAAAAATGAACGCTCTCAACGAAGTGAACAAGACGATCACGAACGCGATGTCGGGCAGGCAGAGCGGACACGCGCTCCGATGCCCCGACGGCTCCGAGTCGGATTATCTCACGAGTCGCGACATCATCCAGTGGATCAAAAGTGCCAACATACTCTCGATCGTACTCAGGGATTCGTTGCATCAGCCGCAGTACGTGGAAAAACTGGAGAAAATCCTCCGATTCATGATCAAAGAGAAAGCGCTCCAGTCCGACGACCTCGACGCCATATGGCAATCGCAAAGTGGAGCCACGCGGCACGAGGCCATAGTCAAGAACATCCACGATCTTCTAGCCAAGCTGGCGTGGGATTTCTCGCCCGATCAGCTCGAATACGTGTTCGAGTCGTGTTTCAAGAAAAGTTGGGCGACGGCGTCGACGAAAAAAGAACGCGAACGCCTCATCGAACTGATCCGTCGGCTGGCCGAGGACGACAAGGACGGAATGATGGCTCACAAGGTTCTACAATTGCTGTGGGGGCTCGCTCACAACCAGGAGGTTCCGAACGAGATCGTCGATCTCGCTCTGGCGGCCCACTTGAAAATTCTCGACTACAGTTGCTGTCAGGATCGATCGGCACAAAAGCAGCACTGGCTCGAGGAGTGCGTGAAAGAATTGAAAATCAACGACAAGTTCGTCATACCGGCTCTTAAACATATCCGTGACATTTGTATGTTATACCAGGAGAATCAGCAAACGCAACACGGCTTGGCTAGGGGCGGGAATCAGGGTCCTGCAAGAAGTGACATAATATCAACATTGCAAAACAAACACACCTTGGTCGTACTGGTGACGACGAATCTGGTCGAGTACGTCGAGGAATCCAAACAGATCGTGAACGCGCATCCGGACCCGAGCCTAGCTCGCGAAGGACACCGCTATTCGCACAACGTCAACGTGCACGAGAGGCTGCGATTCCTTCGCTTTCTATTGAAGGACGGTCAGCTGTGGCTGTGTGCCCCCCAGGCCACTCAGATTTGGAAGTGCCTTGCCGAAAACGGAGCTTACCCGTCCGATCGAGAGGCTTGTTTCAATTGGTTCGCCAAGCTGATGGGCGACGAGCCCGACCTAGACCCCGACATCAACAAACAGTTCTTCGAGAACAACATCCTCAAATTTGACCCGGCACAATTGACAGACAGCGGCATTCATTGTTTCGAGCGATTTTTCAAGATGGTCAATGTCAAGGACGGCAACCTGATAACCATGAAAACTATGACCTCATCGACACATGCGGGTGTTGTCTACGTCGACAACGTGGAGCTCGTCGGTTTAGATTATCTTTGGAAAGTCGTTCTGTTATCGTCGGACGACGTCAGTGCAAAAGCGGCGGAAATTCTCCGGACAACGGCCACGAACCTCGGCCCGAAACTGCAGGAATCGCGAATGGACTTCCATGAGGATTTTGTGAGCACGTGTTTCGAGAGAATTCGGATAGCGTACGATACGTGGAAATGTTTACAGGCGCCAGAGAAGGCAACGGAACTCAGAAAAATGCGCCGGGTCCTACGACTGCTCACGCAATACGTTCAGCAGTGTGACAACAACGGCAACGATCGTATGTACCTCCCGCTGTGTCGGGCACTACGAGGCAAAGAGATGTGGGTCACAGTACAATTTTTCACCGGTGCTAGTTTGAATGGAAACATCACCGACGAGCTAGTGATGTGCTCCCACTCGAACGAGAGTCTCTTCACGTTCAAGCGGCGTCTCGAGCAGAAGGCCGACCGAGGGAAGCTCGAGCTCTTCCACAACAATAACGAGTTCTTCGTTTCAAAGAAAGTTTTCCAATGCATGGGTGAGATGTTCCACTCGACCAAGGTCTCGATCAAGGCCCGAACGGTGGGAGAATCGTCGACGTCCCTGGCCTTGGGCTCATCGGCGACGGGGCCCGCGGCCGCTCAGGGGGGAGCCCACCAGTCGTCTCCGGCGTCGACGTCGTCGAGCGAGAGCGAATCCCCCTCGCCCCCGCAAATGTCGCACACAACTCAGCTGCTGATGGAGAACCATCTGCCCGGGGTTCTGATCGCGCGCAAGGAAAGCCGCGTGAAGTTCAGTCTTACTCTCTGTGATATTCCCGAACTGCACGACGTCACCTGGGCACTTCTTCAACAGATACCTGCGAGCAGTGATGTTATACTTCAAGTCCAGCACTTGGCCGCGGGTCGGCCGGGCGAACTCGCGTCGCACTTCACCGCTCTCGGCTCGATATCGGAAACCCAATACTACCTCGAAACACTCTATTCTCTCCTTCTCCCCGCGAACAATCCGCTCTCCCCCGAAACGCTGCAGTTTCAATGCAACTGCATCAAGTCGGGCATCCTGCACGCTCTCGTCGACCGTCTCGTTGACACGAGCGAGTTGCCGCAAAGCGTGCACATGGTGCTATTGAAGCTCTATCGTTTCCTGCTCTCGATCCTCATCCGACGGAAGCAGCCCGAAAACGTCGAAGCTCACGAGGATTCGGTGGTCGCCTCGATCGCGAGCAAGATCGTCGCCGAACTCAACCAGCAGAACTATCGAATCCCCGAGCTGCAAGCGAACCTCGTCGAGTCGATCATGTGGCTCCTGGTGCAGTCGTCGTGGGAAATTACCGAAAGCGACGATCTCACAGCCGAAGACGTTCAGATCTGCCAGGAGTCGCTGTACACGCTGACAGCGAGCTTGCAGCTGCTCGACAACGAGCACAGCTGCAGCAGCGTCCTCCAGAACACCGAGTACGTGTTCTACCTGCTGCTGAAGTGTCCCCACTCCGAGGTGCGGCAGGCGGCCGAGGACGCGCTCTACAAAATTGGAACACAATTCAATCCATTGGGTTTCATCAAGGCGCTCTACGCGCAGGTTCACGACGACGTCGTCGTGTTCCACCTCTTCAGCGGTGGATACTTCTCTCTGATTGGTCGGCTCTTCCGGACGCTGAAGAGCTTCGAGGAAGCGAAGACCTTCTTCGATCAGGAGCTCTCGTGGCTCCGCGGCATCAAGACGGGCGAACGGTCGCCGAGTTTAATTCAAGGCCATCTTATAATCGCGATCAGTGTTTGCCGTCTGCTGTCGGTCGAGGAAAAGTCGCAGTACAAGTGTTTCGTTCGTGAGCTCCTCGAGGACTTCGTGTTTCCTGCGTCGAAAATTTTCGTCACTCTCAGAAATCCGGATCTTCTCAAATCGTCAGAGACCAACGACGCCCAACAACAGCAGTCTCACGCCGAATCGACGGTGAAAATCAACCAGAATCTGTTGCCGCCTTCGTTAAACTGCGAAATGGCAGCCACGAGCTCAGTTTGCACCACCGAAACTCTGACGAATTTCGCTCTCGATCTCGTTGTCGAACTCTGCAACAAATCGAACGTGAATCTGGAAGAAGCCAATCGGATACTGCATTGCATGTTCTACTCGGATACCAACGCTCGATTAACCGAATGGGAGTTCCTGCCGGCCGTGGGCCCTCGACCGATGAACGGATTCGTCGGTCTCAAGAACGCCGGGGCCACCTGTTATATGAATTCGGTCCTTCAACAACTGTACATGATCAAACCGATAAGACGCGGTCTGCTGGCCCTGAACGACGTCATAAAGGAATCCGATCTCGTCAACGGAGACGGGGATCACGACTACAATGTCGGCGTACTCAAACAAATCATGATCATATTCGGCTTCCTGGAGAAGAGCCGCCAGCAATTCTACATCCCCCAAGGCTTCTGGAGCCATTTCCGGCTCTGGGGCGAGCCGGTCAACGTTCGAGAACAACACGACGCTCTGGAATTCTTCAATTGCCTCGTTGACTCGATCGACGAGGCACTGAAATCGCTGAACAAACCCACGATTCTCAATCAGGTTCTCGGTGGAACGTTCGCCGATCAGAAAATCTGCAAGGGCTGTCCGCATCGTTATAGTCGCGAGGAAAGCTTCACCACACTGAACATCGACATCCGGAACCATTCGAATCTCTTGGACTCGTTGGAACAGTACGTCAAAGGTGATCTCCTAGAAGGCCCGAACGCTTACCACTGCGAGCAGTGCAGCAAAAAAGTGGACACGGTCAAAAGACTCTGCATCAAATCGCTTCCACCCATCCTGGCTATTCAGTTGAAGCGCTTCGATTACGATTGGGACAGAGAATGCGCTATAAAATTCAACGATTATTTCGAATTCCCCCGCGAGCTCGACATGGAACCCTACACCGTACAAGGATTGGCACGCCGCGAAGGTGAAGCTATCGATTCCGAAAGAATCGAGTACAGTGAGGCGGGTACCGCGTACGAACTTTCCGGAATCGTGGTTCACAGCGGGCAGGCCAGCGGGGGCCATTACTATTCCTATATCAAAACCGACGGCAAGTGGTACAAATTCGACGACGGTGAAGTATGCGAGAGCCGGATGGAGACCCACGAGGAAATGAAGGATCAGTGTTTCGGCGGTGACTACATGAGCGAGATGTTCGATCATATTTCTAAGAGAATGTCGTGCCGTCGACAGAAACGCTGGTGGAACGCTTACATTCTGTTCTACGAACGAGTCGAACTCGCCGATAAGGTGAACAGCCAACTGAACGTGTCTGAAATCAAACTTCCGCCGGCCATCGAGATGATCGTGTGGCAGCAGAATCTCCAGTACACGCATATCCACGTGCAGTTCACGCCGGAATTCTTCCGGTTCGTGAAAAGCCTCGTCGCCATAAATGCGCCCAGAATGGATAGCAGCGGTAATATCGCTCCGACCGATACGGCTGGTGGTGGCACCGGCGGCGTCCTCGCGATTCAGGACGGAAAAGACGCGAACGGGTCCGACGGCGACACGCAGCGATCAACGACAGAGCCGGATGAAACGCATTCGGTAGCCGAAAGCGATTCGACGGACAAGCCCCCGAATCCGAACTATCCGGACCTGGCCTTGTTGAGTATGCAGTTGGCGAGAAAGTTCCTCTTCAGTACGTATTTCCACACGAAGAAGAGCCTACGGGGCAACATGTCCGATTGGTTGTCGACGCTTGTAGCGTATTTCAAAAGCTCGAGAGAAGCTCGGGCCTGGTTCGCCTGCGCTACTAACGCTCACATCATTCGCACATATCTCCTCGAGAGTCCCGTCGAAGAAGTGCGGCATTCTTTCGCCTGCATTCTAGCCACTCTTTGTGAACATCTCCTCAACGAATCACCAGCATCACCAGTACAGCCCGAGCAGCAGAGCGAGTCGGCGGATCTCAAGGCGCCTCCGAACCAGTTGGCCCAAAAAATCCTAAGCGACGTCATGCAGCTCCTGAACAAAGACGTGTGCGAATACGGTCGTCACGTGAATCAATATTTTCTGTTTTATTCGCTCTACGCCGATTCGGGCAACCGTGCAAAAGAGCATCTTATCAAAAACGACGTGCCGTTGGCCTTCATTCGTCTAGCCTTGGAGGAGGGTACCATAAAGTACCAGTACGCCGAACTGAGCAAACTGTACCAAACCCTGGCCACTCTCCTGCACTGCTTCGACGTCTCGGCGCTACAGCTCTCGTCGGTCAAGGAAGAGGCGCCTGCGCCGAACCCTTTCGCCAAGATCACGTTGGCCAGCATGCCGGACAGCGTTGTCGACTACCTGTTCCTGCAGAATAACCTTGTGAAGAAAATGCTCGAAGACGCGAACGGAATGCTCGAGGTACTCGATCTGTTGAAGTACCTCTGCTGGGAAAACTGCCCGATGTCCCAGATGCTCATTACTGAACTGCTCTGGTTCACTGCATACGTCTGTACATACGAGGTTCGACCGTATCTGGACATCCTGCTGCATATCGTGTTGATTGAAGATTCGTGGCAGAGGCCGCGCATCACTCGAGTCCTGCACGGTATCCCAAACAGTCGGGAGGGTCTTTTCGATATAATCGAACGCTCAAAGAACAACAACTATCAAAAACGATCGTATCAGTGTATCAAGTTCATGGTCGAGCTCTTCTACCGTATCCCTGATGCCATATCGGTTACTCCTGAAACGCAGAGCAAGTTCCACGTTTCCGTCGATTGGATTCGGGCGGAACTCGACCGGAAGCAGCACAGCATACAGCCTTGGTCTCAGGTATCGAACGAGACTTCGAACGGTTACTACCTTGAACGCAGCGCGTCGGCCGTTGATCTGTTGAATAGAGCCGACCATTTGTTAACGGAACTCCCCGCCGTCGAAATTGGCAAGGAACCTCAAGAAACCAACAATACGACGATCGTCGTCGCCGAAATCGAAGCCGGATCCACGACTCAGATCGACTCATCAGAATCCAGACCGGAAGCGACCGCGAAAGATTGGTTGAATGAGCTCGAATGAGTGGTTCCCATCATCGTCGTTGTCAAGGCGGCTCGTTTTGGGTCGACATCCTCATCTTCACCCCCCAAATCAGCTGACAGGCATCAAACAGAAACGAAAACAGATTGGTCAGCTGTTCGGTTAGTCGGTATTCTCGTGTAAAGCATTGTGTATAGAAGCCCTAGTTTATGTACATCCTGCTCGCAGGTCATGATGAATTTTATTTAATTCTTTAGCGTGCGCTACCATATGATCACGAGTTCCTTGTCCTTCCCTCGCCTACTGGACATGGGAGCCTCGAAACCCTGCTCTGGCTGCCCTTGCTGCCAGCTCTGCATCTGTTATCGGAAAGAGGGGGGTTGGAGCGCCGGAACTGCGTTGCCAACCCGCGTCCTATTCACCGGCGGTCGTGGCGATTTTCCCGGGTCTTCGTTCTCCAATCGAATTGGACTATACGTGTACTATAGATCACGATCTTATTCATCGAGCCGAATTCAGCGAAACTCTGCTATTTCACGATGTTGGATCCATTTTACGGGTAAACGAAACAAATCAGCCGTGCACAACTGCAGTACTCCGAGCGTCCTCGTACGAGAGATCGTGGCGGGACTGGCGAGGTGCTGCGGAAAAAAGGCGATAATGGTGAACTCATCTGAATGCATCCAGCAATCTCTAATTTGCTAAGATTTTTGAGGCCGAGATGAAAACGTAGGAGCGGATACAGACCACTGGCGGCATGGGTGGCAATCTCGACAACGACGATGGTTCGATCTTGGTATTGACGACGAGGGGCGATTATTCTAGAAATTCTCAGGGGCCAGCAGAGCGGATGAGGAATTGCGGAGCGGAAATTGAGTAGATTGTGAGAGCGGATCACGGGACGAAAAATCACGACAGAAAGATTGGTCTTCCGTCATCGGTCGACCGAGTGATTCCTCGAGATATAATAAGATAATAATATTGATAATTAATATTTTCATTTTGGACATTGTCATCTATGAATAATACCGACTCCAGCATCAACCAAACCGACGGAAACAACAGAAACAGCTAACAATTCGCGGTGACAACTACGAAGACGACAACAACAACAATCAACAAGTTTGAATAAAGTATCGATCAAACGAGACGTTGAGAAATGTAATTCTCGCTGCTTGTTGAAAAACCGCGAAACAATATCTGAGAACAGTGCGAAGACCCCGAGAGTTAGAGTAAATAAATGAACTGAAATGCTATTATTGACGAACAAGAGGTTCAATTTAATGATCTCGCTCACCGAGAGCACACTGTGGATCGAAGGGATGTCCCACGCGAAGCCGGCGCCCGTATCTGTGGAATTATTCCCGGGACGGAGCGGAGCGAGCATGAGAGCATTCCACCTATAGAAACACTTGACTCTCAGGTCCTCGAATTTCGGGCTTTCGGACAACGAACACCTTCCCGGATACGAGGGTCTCCCATCTGAAGTTCAAGAGGCATATCGCTCGAAACTGCGGACTGAAAAGGTGAACAGAATCTTCCTGTATGAAGCTGTGGGAGCGTTTTTTCCGCCGTGACGTACGCTCCAACCATGGCAGTTTCTGTTCTGCCTGGATGTCTATGGGACAGCCGCTTTCCCGAGGGATCGATCCGATCATTTCGATTCAGCTCCCTCGACTCGAATCATATACGAGTCCTATTTGTGCGGAACTGCTTGTAGGAATCAGGCAATCCTCTAACGGCATCCCTTATCGTACTGTCAGGGGCCGGATCCGGTGTGGGAGGAATGTCATAGACCGAAGTCCCAATAAACCGAGGCTTCCCTTGAGCGAGGTTCGACACCGATGGCGACGTGAATGACGATATGACGTCATGTGACATCATAGAGGCTTTCCGCATTCCTCATTACAGTACACAGTGCAAACAGAGGATCGCCCATCCTCCGCGCGGAACTCTACGAATGTTCGTGACAGATATCTTCATTCTCTTGTCACGATCATGGCGGAAACCGCTGAGTAGAACTCAAAAAGCAGGCGACCCGCTTCGATGACGCTCGGAAATCATGACTTCCTGCTCCTGCAGCGTTCCCATCGATCGTCGACGCTGCACCGGGTGTGATTTTCCCTTCCGTGGAGGTCAGACTGAAAACGGAAATGACGAAAAAATATCCTGGCAGCGGTGGGGTTCGAACCCACGCCTCCGAAGAGACTGGTGCCTAAAACCAGCGCCTTAGACCACTCGGCCACGCTACCTTCTGATGCTGAAGGGGATGAGATCCCGCGGACATCTCCGTATTCGTTTTGGGGAGCCCTCCTAGATGAAAGGAATTTCGGAGTCTTTCGGCGGATGATCGTGACAGAGAAAGTTTCTGATTTATCTAGAGAATTCTCCCGATATGGCTGGTCTCCCGCTTTCCGCGAAGGAACAAATCATCAAGGTCCGAACCGAGTCTCGGAACCTGGGCGCGATTGATGAACATCGACGTCACGAAGTTACGCGACGTGTTCTCAGCTCAAAACTGACTAGCCTCAATCTGAAGGCAATGCCTGGAGGTTTTCCCTTTATTCCAGGACGGACTCGATGTCCAGCAGCGAGACCCTCGCCCTCATGGAAAGCCCCCCGCTCGCCTCGCTCCCATCTCGTTAGATTACAACCTCCGAGGAACACGCAATGCCTCCTGCTAAATTTCACCCTGGATCGGGAGCGGCATAGAGCGAGCGATCTGGCCACGTTCCCCCCTTCAGTGCCGCTTCCGGCCGTTCGACTTCTCTCCTTCGCTACGGGTCTATTCATTTTGTTCTGGGCCGCACTATTACACATTGCGCGGGGTAGGCGGGACACAACCTCATAGTTTTGCCGGAATCGATGTCGAAACTTCCTGACGGAAGCTCTCGCACATATTTCTGCCGAAAATGCGACCCTCCGATGGAGCGCCGTGCCGTGTACCTAGGGAGTGAACCAGACGTCGTGTGCTAGGACGCTGGACGCGTCCAGACCAGCCCTCGCGAAGGCTCATCAGCTCGATCCTGGTAGTTCTACGATCCCTGATACAGCGTCGCTGCTTCGAGATGCGTAGACAATGCGGGGGAGGGGATCGGGTCAATCGACCGTGCTCCCTCGATATAGGTATTAAAATGCATTGCATCATTCCAACCACGATGAGGTGAACGCATCGACGAATGTGAGATAAGCATCCAGGACTCGGAGACGAGTTGCGAAGCGCTTCCGCATCCAGAATTGTCTTTCTCTCCCACGACAGCATCGCTCTCCATTCAGAGAGACATCTGATGAGATTGCGGAATAAGAAGTGACTGCATATACACAGAACAAGGCCCCCGGACCGACGAGCCAGCGACAACCGCAGGCTGATGCCGTTCGAGCGAGCGAATAAAACTTCGATGAGACATATTCACTCGGGTATCTCTTATACATCGCTTCTGCGGCTGTCAGATCGCAAGAGGAGGCAAGCGGGAGCATGCCATTGATCGCGGAGCTTGCTGTCGATGGAACAGAAAAACTCCGAGAAGAACGACGAGCTGCTCCGATGATTATACCCGTGCACCACCTGAGAAACAGGAGTGGGACGCGAGAAGTTAATAAATAGAGGCGAGTAGACTTGATCGAAGGTGTCGACTCCGCGCTCCGATTCCACAAGGGCTTGGGGCCGGGGAGGCCGTTGAGCGAATTATCATCCTAGGGGGACGGATGTGTTCGTGAGAAGACGTCTGGAACGTTCCACGAATGGAGTATCTGCCGTAGATCGAAGCGTGGCGGCTATTTTGTGCATGGCTTGTTCTTCAGGCTCCGACGCATCGGAGTCCGATGTTCGCAGGTGTCTCTATCTGAGAGATGGGAGTTGCAAGAAGGCTCCCTCCGAATGAATATTTTCTCACGCATGGCAGAAATTACCCGAAGGAAAACAGAAAACTCTTCTCCCACAGAAATGTCGAAACCTTTTCAGCAGGACTGATGAGCGTCAACGCGTGTGCGTCGCGTAGGATGCACATGTCAGACAACGGTGCGCAGCGCATAGGAAAATCGCAAGACGAGAGAACAGTCTGTTCACTACCATTGACAAAGTTTCGGGGTATTCGACACATTCGATAGACGCTCCACCAGAGCCACTGGAACTTTGCGACGGAACGGATCTTATCGGATGAGGGTTACGAGATCATGCTATTTATCGCTAACGTCCCTCTGATTGAGGGAATCTATTTTCGAGTCCAAAGGGTGATGGAGGTTGAAAAATAGAAAGGGGGAAGACCACAGAGACCGGGCCGTGGGAGCCGCGGATCTGTCGCTATTTATGGGATTTGCCGCCCTTAGAGCTCGACTGCTTCGGTCAATCGTCCGACGGCCTCTCGTGCGGTGGAGACGATCGTCACGAAGAGCCCTGCGACGTGACTCGCGGCTGCGGCATTCCGAACTGCACCCTGAAAAATGCTCAGTTGACAGAGCGCAGGAGAGAGATCAAATACGGCGTCTCGAATTCCCTGTGCGTTCCCTCCGGTTCCTCTTTTCCTTAAATAAGCTCTTCCTGTGTTCGTATGTGTGCAACTAGAAGCGTTTGTTTGCTTTCGCTCGATATACCGCGTCGCGTTTCCAATGAAGACGAGTCGGCTCAAGGTTTGCGGAAAAAAAGAAGCTTCCACCAGCAGCGGAGCCTTATTGCTATCAAGCGCACAACCGATCCCCGGAAACTCGCTTATCGCAGCCGTCGCGTCGTCTGCGGCTTGGGATCTTCCTGTGGAGTGCCCGACGATTCCCCGATCTCCCCTTGGAGCGAACTCTAACGACGAAGAGGACTCGTGCATTCGATCAGGTGGAGCTCTTTGAAACAACGGTTATATACTCTACTCATAGTTTCTGAAGGGCGTAGTCTGATCCGTTCCGTCTCGAACGGTCGGATCAAGACAGAACAACAGCGCTTCAGTCAGTATCCTCGCGGAGAATGTGAAGGGATACACAAGCGTGCCAGCGGCACTAGACTGATCTCACAGAGCATGTTCGCTAAGTGCTGCTCCATGTGACTGCTGAGTAACGGAATGGGAGAAGTCTCCGTGTATCCCTCGTCGAGTTCATTGTCTGGTGGAGGCTTTGTTGCGGTCAAGATAGATCCAGGATCCAGGCTGGGGAATGCAGCCACCATGACGACGTGTCAGCCTTGCCATATGTTTGCCCTCAGATTGATCCTCTGGGCGACCTGAGATCGCTTCTGGGGGTAAACATAGGAAACTCCGCCCTCTCCCCTTCAACGTAAAATCAGAAATTACATCGTTGAGCGGGGGGGGGAATATCCGCTTGCCGAACCTCGAAGTTGCAGCGCTCCCGGAAAATTGCAGCGATAGGAACTTCCGATGCGGCAGAGCCTACCGAGAATCACCGCGATGACCGTTCTCCGAGCACTGGGAAGAATGATGATCAGTGACGGATGCTTGGAGGTACATGCCTGAAATTCCGTCGTCTGTCCAACTCCATCGGGTTCCTAAAGCGTTCGGCTGCTCGCAACTCGCTGGGTATTCGTTGGGCCCCCACCCCCGACCACGTTCCGATCGCGGTCGGAGGCCCAACATCATATTTACGGCATATTCTCTCTGTCATCATCGACCCACACGAAGATACCTCTACGGGGGGAGTGCGAGGCACCAATTCGATCTCCCTTTTCGCATCGTTCCTGGGACCATCAAGCGAGCACATTCACCGATGAATGAACGTTCCACGAATGTCGCTTCCCTCCCTCGTACAAGAACTGTTCTCCCTTCCGTGCTCTTCCAATGCTATCTGGAATCTCTTATTGTTCATGACGCCGCTGCGGTCTCCCGGATTTTAACGCTGTTCGCAGACAGAGATGGTCCCGCCGTCAAGGGTCCTACAAATGTCTCGAATACCGCTCGAGTATTTTGTGAATAATCTTGCGGATGAATCTCACAGAGAAGAACCGTCTGAGTGGAATAATGACGACTCGGTTCTTTGCCGTTCTCTCGAGGAAGTCCTCGACCCCCCCCCCCGCCTTCGCTACCGCACGTACGATTTCGCGAATCCGAGACACTTCGAATGGCATGAAGACGTTCGCTGTGGCGTCTCAACTTCCGAAGAACGAAAATCGTCCGAATGCTCTCGCTTCCACTTCAAGTTGATCATTTATTTTTCCATGGAGGGACCTGAGAATATGGTGAGTTGTCCGCCATACAGGAAATCGATCTGCTGAGTCAATAAGTTTCGGGATCCCATTTGACTTTTCCTCATATACGTTTCTCTAGA